CTTGTAATATTTGCAAGAAAATTGGGCATCTAGCACGAGTTTGTTAAGGAGGGAAACCACGCCCCAAAGAATATTTTAGCCAAAAACACGGATCAAAGGGACAGCGGGCTCATGAAGTTTTGTCAGAGGAAACCAATTATGAACAAGAAGAAACGTTTCCACCTCTATCAAATAACGAAACAACTCAATACGTCCAGGAAGTTAACTGCACTAAAGTACCGGAACTGTATACAACTGTCAACATAAATAATCACAAAGTTCTAATGGAAGTTGATACTGGTGCAGGTGTTTCTATCATAGGAGGAGAACTATGGAATACAATTTCTCATAAAAACTGTAAACTACAACCTTCTCCTTGGAAACTCAAGGATTACAGTGGTAAACCTGTAAGTGTTTTAGGTCAGACTAATGTTTATGTGAAATACGGTAAGTTCAATGGTTTCCTTCCGTTAGTCATAACTGAAGGTAATAGAAATAGTTTATTGGGGCGTAATTGGCTAAAAAGTCTTAACATTGAAGTAAACGGAGTACTTTCAATCAACTGTCATGAATCTGAAGTTCTTAATAAAGCTCAGCTGGATGTTCAACATCTGAAAAGTGAATTTTCCGATGTATTTTCAAATTCTTTAGGGTGCTATAAAGGACCTCCGATCGAACTGAAAATTGACCAGAATTATAACCCAATTCACTTAAGAGCGCGCCCTTTACCTTATGCATTGCAGGCCCCAGTAGAAGAAGAGCTGAATAAGTTAGTTAATCAGGGAGTGTTAGAACCTGTTCAGGTATCGGATTGGGCCACACCAATTGTTGTTTCCGTAAAAAGCAATGGTAAAATACGAATTTGCGGTGATTATAAGGCAACGTTAAACAAAGCTATCCAAGATCATCTGTACCCTATTCCACCAATCTCTCAGCTCTTAGCAAACTTAAACCAAGGGAAATATTTTGCTAAGTTAGATTTAGCCCAAGCTTATCAACAACTGGTTGTTGACGAGAAGTCGGCACTAGCTCAGACACTAATTACACACAAGGGTGCTTTTAAACCAAAAAGACTACAATTCGGTATTAGCTCAGCTCCATCTATATTTCAACATTTTATTGAGGGTTTGCTTTCGGGCTTGGACAATGTAATCCCTTACTTTGATGATATTTTGGTTAAAGCAGGAACAATACACGAATTGATTACCACATTAAGACAAGTATTCACTCGTTTTAGAGATGCAGGGATTACACTCCAAAGCGAAAAGTGTTCTTTGTTATCTACATCAGTTGACTTCTTGGGATTTGTTGTGAGCTCTGACGGAATTCGTCCTAACCCGGACAAAGTCAAATCCATTCAAGATGCTCCTGAGCCGACTAACAAGGAACAACTGCAGGCATTTTTAGGTTTACTTAATTTCTATCACTGTTTTTTACCCAACAAAGCCAATGTTGCAGAACCTTTACATCGCTTATTGGACAAAAATGTTAAATGGCGGTGGGAGGAAAAACATAAACTTGCTTTCAATGCTTCAAAGAAGCTCCTTTCTTCCGATAGTATACTGGCTCATTACAATCCCTCCAGCCATCTTATACTAACTTGTGATGCATCTCCTTATGGTATTGGTTGTGTGCTTAGTCAGGTTCGAGGGGAAAAGGAAGTTCCAATTGCGTTTTATTCCAGGACAATGAGTCAGTCAGAACGAAGATATGCTCAAGTAGATAGGGAAGCACTTTCCATCATTGGAGGGGTTAAAAAATTCCACAATTACTTATATGGGAGGCATTTTGAAATTAGAACAGATCATAAGCCACTTCTGGGTCTTTTCACTGTGGATAAACAAACACCAAACACACTGTCACCTCGAATGATTCGCTGGAGTATCCTTTTAAATGGATATGACTTTGATCTTGTATACAAACCGGGGATTTCTATTCCGAATGCTGATGGTTTGAGTCGTCTTCCATGTTCCTCCAATGTTGTTGATCAAGAGATAAATGAAGTCTTGAATGACGTGCTATACATTGAATCCGATGAGGTTAAACCAATCACCGCTAATATAATAGCAAAAGAAACAGAAAAGGATCCACTTCTATCTAAAGTACTATTATGGACTCAACGTGGTTGGCCAACTCATAACTCAGATATCAACCTTACGCCTTTCATTTCTCGTCAAAATTCAATTTCTCAATACAAACAATGTTTACTTTGGGGAACTAGGGTGATCATTCCATCCACTCTCAGGCAACAAGCTCTGAAGCTTCTACACATGGGACATGAGGGCATTGTTCGAACAAAGGCGTTGGCTCAAAGCTATTTCTGGTGGCCAAAACTTGATCAAGACATAGAAAACATAGTGAATTCTTGTCAAGCATGTCAACAAAGTCGTCACAACCCTCCAAGAGCAACAGTTCTTCCCTGGGAGAAAACGAAACAACCCTGGTCTCGTCTCCACATAGATTTCGCTGGGCCCTTCCAAAACAAGTTGTTTTTGATTGTTGTCGATTCTTTCAGCAAATGGTTAGAAGTAGTTTTGGTGCCTTCTACAGATTCAAGATCAACTATAAAGGTCCTCAGAAGCCTTTTCGCAACACATGGTGTTCCAGACACAATAGTATCTGATAACGGGTCGGCTTTCACTTCACAAGAATTTCGATCGTTTAACACGTTCGCGGCGGCACGTCAAATGGCGGGCGTATCCCAGGTCCGGCGCAGCCCTCAGCATCGAACAAACCCGATTGCCGCGTGTGATTAGCTTTCCAATTTCGGGCTGACAAATAGCAAATAACGTGCGAGGATGTCCTGCTTTACAACAAGAGTCGACGTAGTTCGCTAAACACCAACAGATAGCAGCACTGCTTGTAACGTAGCCGGTCCCATTGGAATTGTATTGCCAAATGGAGGGAAAAAGACGGGACAAAAGTAGGATTTTGAGATTGCCAGACGGGGATTTACGGGAAAATTTACTACCAACCAACACCACAACAAAATACAGTATACTATTGAGAAGTGCTGTGCGAGGTTTCAAGTTTCTAGCTCTAATCCTGGCTTAAAAATAAATCATTTCGTACTGCCTTGCAGCTTGGGAGCGATCGCACCCACCAGGATGGCATTAGGGTTCCGTATGGGAGCGATCGCTCCCATGCCGCCGCGAACGTGTTAATGAAAGCAATGGCATCCGCCACGTCGTGGTTGCACCATACCATCCGTCATCGAATGGTCAGGCAGAAAGGATGGTCCAAACGACAAAAAATTCTTTGCGACGAATACTTCAAGGAGATTGGCAAAAAAGATTGGCTCAGTTCCTAATATCGTCTCATATAACGCCAAATTGTTCTACTAATATGTCACCGAGTGAACTGCTGTTCGGAAGGCGTATTAGAACCATCTTAGACAGAGTTTACCCAGATTATTCTTCAAGTGACAAAGAAGAGAAAATCTTGGATAAAGCGCTTCACGATTACCAACAGTCACCTCAGAGGAAATTTAAAGAAAATGACTCCGTATTTGCAAGAAACTATAATCAGCGAGGACCAAAGTGGATTCCTGCTAAAGTCACTAGAATAACCGGGCCACTGAGCTACCATTTGATAACAAAAGAAGGCATTGAAATACGACGTCATATTGACCAATTGAGACCTCGCTCAGAAACATCAAAAGCATCTACTAACTCACACTTGGATAATCCTGAATCTCCAGTAAACCCACCATTCCACCCACTACTCCAGAATCCTATTCAAATGAGAACACCAGAAGCACATCATATCACTCCAGTGCAACCACCATCAATGGTTCGCAATCCTATTATGATGAGAACACCAGACGTACAACCAATGCGACCATCAGTGATGCAACAATATCGCAATTCCTTTAGTGGTATAGAAGGATCAATTAACCCTCATCAAGAAGATGCTGGTTTCAACGTTTCTGGTTTAATTCAAGACTCCACTAGCATGAGCACGAGTCCACAACCTGTTCGGTCACGTGTCTCTAGATCAAACTCCCAAAACACTTCAATGAGCATGAGTCCTCGACCTGTTCGTATCCGTCGACCACCGGCATATCTGAAGGACTACCTAACGGGGGGAGGAGTGTTATGTATCAAGAAATAAGTCCATATGTTTTATTTATAACATCTGTCAGATGACTGTTTAAACATTATTATGTTTTGTTTACTTTTTAGTTTAGTCTGATTTGTGAGTTCAATAAATTCAGTTGTGTTAATTATGTTTTAATTTACTAAAATTCATTCTAAGTTATTAAAGCTATGTGACCTGAGATCAATCAAAATTCTTTCGCTAACCTATTCAATATTAAAAAACAATTTTCCAAAATATTTTGTAGATGATTTTAGGTTTGTAGCTGAAGAAAGTGTCAGATACTCACGCCATGCATCATTAACTTTGCGTATGCCTCACCATAGGACCGCAGTTTACGACAGAGCGTTTATTGTAACTGCTTGCCGTCTTTGGAACGATCTTCCTTTAGCTATTAAATCCCTCGATAGTCGTTCCCGGTTTGTGGCAGCGCTAAAAAATCTCTATTTTGAACGTATGGCCATGGTAGGTTTGTCGTAGGGGCCTGTGCGCATGGCGGTCGCTGACTTGTATGTATGTGTGAGTGAGTGTGTGTGTGTAAGTATTTTTAAAATTTACTGATTTTTGATAAAAGTTTCTGTATCTGAGTTTCTGTAGATTTCTGTTTTGTTTTATTGTATAAGCTGATTATGTTAAAATATTTATATTATGTTTTAAAGTACAGGTTAAGTGTAAGAAAGGGCCATGTGGCCCTAACTTTGCCTGTATAAATAAATGATTTTTCATTTCATTTTTTCATTTCATTTCATTTCATTTCATTTCATTTCATTTAAGTGTATGAAAGTACTTAGTGAAAATTAAAATGATATCGTCTCAGTGGTTTGTCATACTTAGCTCACAGCATAACTTAACTTACCTTTGCATAGTCATGTGGCTAAATCTGCTAAATAGAACAGACTAACAAACCTATGTGATTATTTCAGGAGTGTATAAAACCTATTAAAATTGACAAGAAATCAGGGACTGGTGCAAAGATAAAGATTGAAGAGGATGGCTCATACTTGCAAGTTAAAGAGGTGAGTTTTTATGGTGATGCTAATATCACTAGCCTACATAACAAACTAGCAATGTAGCCTATAGTAAACTTGTGTTTAGGTCATTCCCTATAGGGCTACTGAACCTTTTTAACCATTAGGCTACATTTGTTTTTTATAATAGGTAACTTCTTGATCAGCATTGTACGTGTTATTAAATTTACGGAAGGTAAATAAAAGATACGTCTTATAACACTTAAAAAATATTTACGCTTTTACTGTTACTCACAAGACGGTAAATATACAAAAAAGATGGTAAGTGGTGATCGATTTTGATTGGACACTCCAATCATTGGGTCTGATGATAATTGGAGTGTCCAATCAAAATCGATCACCACTTACCATCTTTTTTGTATATTTACCATCTTGTGAATAACAGTATAAGCGTAAATATATGTTTTAAGTGTTACAAGACATATATTTTATTTACCTTCCGTTATAATAGGTCTATCAAAAACAAATGTATTTTAAAAATTCTAAAAAGCAAACATTTGATTTACTCTGTTAGAGTTAGAATATATTTTTATATTGTAATTGAGTGAAAATTTAAAAACGTACGTTTTCAGGAAAAGCACTTTGCAAATTTTTTTCCCCTTTTTTCAAAACTTTTATTATTTTTTTATTTTATTAGCATTTGAAGTTTCATAAAATGTCCATGGCAACGCAATATCTTTGGTAGTTATTTTTTAAAAGAGCATCTTTAGTGGAAAAACACAAAATCCTGTCACGACCATAACGGACGTTTAAATGAATATTAAAAATTGTTAATATTATTTTTATAACTATGTTTTGCTATTAAACTAATTTACTTTTATGACCATTATACAATAAAAAGGTCACTAAGCTTTTAGTATATTTGGTCTTTCCAGAAAAAAATAAAAAAAACTCAAAAAATTGAAAAAAAGCCAATAAAATCTTTTTAAGTTTGTATAACTACAAAAAACTTACCTGAGACCCGAAAAATCGTTATGTTTGTATAGAGGTGTGCTTCTTTTGTGTATAAAACATTGAAATATGACGATATTTTAATTTTTGAAATTGTTATGATAGAAATCATAAACGTGATGGTCAGGGACAAGCGGTACGGTCGTGAATTGTCTGGAATAATTTAAATCTTTCTAGGCAATCCTTCAATTATACTGTTAGTTATAATAAAAATATGTGTTTCAATTGAACTAAACTGTTCAATTCACAATTATATTAAAGTTATTGTCACGACCAAACACACTATAATCCATAAGGCTGGATTGGTCGTGAAAAAACCCGCAATGGTCGTGAAACTTTGGTCGTGAAATTACGTGTTATTTGGCTCTGTTCTGGCGGTAGCCCTGCACCTCATGTTCGAGGATACAAAGTGGACTTCTAGGTTAATCTAGCAATTGAAATATCTTATAAACAAAAATTAACACCATGTCTACTTCATCGAATGACTACGTACGGTCATGGACACACCAAAATTACAAAAAACACAATCTTTCCTTTATTAATCTTGTAATTCCTCCTTTCAACTCGAAACGACCGGCACTACAATCCTGACGTACACCCCGAACTAGTCTCTCAAACCAACTGACTCCATCGACGCCAGGCTTACCACTGTCGGGCTCCAAAGTTGAAAATTTTTCCCAAATGGTCGTGACGCCAAATCGAGGGACAGACTTATTTTGTCATGGTAGTCAGTTTGCAATGACAATAAAATTATAATATGCTCCTTTTTTGTAAGTTTAATAACCATTGATGACATAAAAATATGGCTTTATATATTTCGGCATGAATAATTAGTCTAAAAACAGCGTGAAAGTTGGAAAATGTACCCTAGGGACACGTCATGGTCGTGAATTTTGAGACTTTAAAAATACGAAAAAAATACCTAGAACCTATTTAAAACCAAATAAATGTGTGTAACATATTGCCCCCGACCCAAAAAATATTAAAACACATAATAATAAACTACAAATCCAGTATCTACGAAGTAAAAGGCCAGGGACATGAAAACGTACGTTTTTAAATTTTCACTCAATTAGTAGGTTTGTGCAAGTACTTGAGTGGTAGATTTTTTTTGAAAGGGTATTTCATTACTCGGCTCAACTTGAGCTTTTCTAAATGTGTTTTCTGAAACATATTTATACACAGTATGGCAGAATCGACCCACTTTCTTTACTCTTATTTTATAACTCTTACTGCCAACTGACCTTAAAAACATACTAAATAAGTACCGGTAGTTGTTTCTTAACCTTGCAGAACTCACTTTGAATTGAAAACGTAAGTACTCACTCAAGGTCTTTTTGACCGGGGTAAAAAAAACTGCCATCATTTTTTTTTTGTTATTGATTTTCAAGTAAAATTATATAAGAAAGTCCAATAATATAGGTATTTTATTGGTGTTAAAACACTTTTAACACACTTAAACTGTTAAAATACCTTTATTATTGAACTTTCTTATATAATTTGTTTAAGTAAATGTGAATTTTCATTGTTAGGGAATGCCATATTTTATTTTAAGTATACAGTATAAATGGCCATAAGTACCGCGGTGACAGACACGATGCAACTAACCGACTCCTGTCTGTTGACATTGACTTTGGAGTAAAAGTCAATGTCAACAGACAGGAGTCGGTTAGTTGTCACAATGTTTTTAAGAGGCAAGAGGCTCAACAATGAAACCTTGATGTTTCGAAACTAGTCGCCATAGACTTATTTTAGGATTGACGACGTAAGGTATGTAACCTATTTATATTGTCTATAATCAATCCTGGAGGCAATGATGAATAAACTATAAAGTTACTTCACACTATTATGTAAAAAATAGCCTTTAGATATAAAAGCAAAACTTGGATATGATATGGTAAATAATCATAAAATCACTATAGAATAGGATAGAATTAATTAAGTGGAAAATGAACACATTCAATAGAGTCCATTTTTGCACACATATAGTAGGCTAAAATTTTCTCTTTGGATTTGCAGCAAATTTCATCAAGAGAGACATAAACTAACAGACCATATTTTTTTCAAATTCAAATTTTAGTTATTTATTACAAAGTATTTATGATATTTTCAAGTAAAACACAGCCCAAAAATAAGTAAAAAACTAAATCAAATTCATAATACTACGATTTGACTTTCGGGGTCCCTCACTCACGGTCGAACAAACCGGCACCACACTAACTCCGTCACTCTTACTTGGTCAAACTGAACAGTCCGTTATGCGAACAAACAAGAAACTAAATGTAAGAGGGTGAGTGTGGAAAATGATTCATGTTCCCAGAAAGATATGCGAGAGGTACAGTGGCGGTGAATACTGCCGAGGCCCGTTAAATACAATCTTTACTAAAATTATTACCAACCCGGAATTTCGACCAGGGCCCTTTTTCATAAAGATACTAGTCTAGTAATTACTAGTCTAGTAAATACTAGTCCTGTATTTACTTGTCCTACTAATTTGTGTTTAATATATGTTTTTATACCGCTAGTAAATACTAGTGAATTTTACTAGTCACGTGACCGAAACTACTAGTCACGTGACCAACTTTACAAGTGAACTCTCAAAACAAATTTCTAACCTCAATCACGGGTTTTCTGACGCTTCATAAAGCGTTTTAATTTTTTCTTTCATTTGATACTAAAAGTAAATAGTTGTAGAAACGCAGTGTTTTCTTTTAATTAATAACTATATAGACACATAGGTAAAACAATCACACATTATTTATCAAACCGCTATTATTTATGTTCCTCAATGAGCCCGCCGACGCGCCGGCACATTGCGGCGTCGCGTCGCTGCAATCAACATGGTGATTGTAGTAGCCGGTTGTAGGCCTAGTTGCGGCGCTCAACAGAGTTGGGTGGAAGTTGATCTGTTGCTGCCGCATTCGCTGTGATTTGTATAGTTTTTTTTTTTTTATTCTGACATATAAAATTAAGCTTGCTATGAGTAAAGAAAAGAATGCTCGAATTTTGAATGTAATTAAATCGTGTTAGGACATTTTGTTTGGAACGTTTTCTGTTTTCAAATATTCGAATGCATAAGAATATTTTGGTTAAAAACCATTAGGTGATATTCTAATTTTGAGTCTACAAACCATGAATAATAAGCCTAAACGTTTATTGATGTAACAAATAATTGCAACGACGTTACAAGCAATGGAGAAGTAGGTTTTCAAGTATAGTAAAACATGGCATAATAGACGCTATTGCAGGGCGTAGGTCAGAGGTAGAGTTTTCGCTTCTCACGTGGTGGGTCGCTGGTTCAAATCCGCACCACTCACTATACTTTTGTTCCATTAATTAAACTTTTACATGTTTTTACATTAAAATAACAGCTCTAATCAACATCTAATTTTGTTTATTACTTTGAATAACAAATTCAGAATGCCAAAATAGATTAAAAGTAATGTTTTTATGATAAGCAGTTCAACGCCCAAAAACCAAATATAGGCCTACAAAATTGTTAGTACATCACAGGGTTTTAGCTATTTAAGGAAGTAAATAATAAGCACCTAAAAAAGTACAATGAAACTCCTCTTTAAAATTGTCTTACTTTCCTATTAAAATGTCTTTAAATAAAACCAAGAGCCTTGGGTGTAAAATAATCTGATTAATGTTGCAATGTTGGATACATTTTGTACATCTTTGTATGCAATACGGTATGCGGTTTTAATTTGGTTTCTCTCAAAGATTAAAAATCTTTTATCTGTCATAACTAAATAGTTGATATAACCATGAAATTTAACTCAAGTAAATTTAGACCAAAATATCACAGAAATTGATAACTTATAATAATTATAATTATTCTAATAGGGCGATTGTACATACATTATAAAATTCAATTTCACTAATTTTGTACTACGCCACATTTATTGATTGTAATTTACATCTAATAATTATCATTTTAGCACTCACAGATCTATTTTTATCTTAAATTGCAAACTTGAGCCAATTCGCACTTGAAAAAATAATTCAATAATTCATTTTTTTTGTACGATGTGAGTAATGAAATAACTCTCTTTCCAAAAATACTAGTCTACTTCAAATAATACGGGTGTAGAGAGGTTGTTAGAAAATGGCAAGTATTTACCAGTGTAATTTACAAGAGTAAAACTTTATGAAACACATTGCTGTTTACACTAGTAAAAAACCACTAGTAATACTAGTCCCTACACTAGTAACTAGTATTTTACACTAGTAGGTTTTTGAAACGTAGACTTGTAAAATACACTAGTATTACTAGTCCACTAGACTAGTATTTTTATGAAACAGGGCCCAGCATGTGAGCCCTCCCAGGTTAAAAATGAGAAGAGAAGTATAAATTGCTTAGAAAGACTTAAATATATGATATATTTTTGGGATTAAGACGTAGAGACGGACTTTTTTATGTGAGTGACATATTTTCTATTGTTAAAGGTAATAAGTTAACAACATATAACTTAGGGCCTAAACATGAAATGAACAAACCAGAGAGTCAAAATGGAAGATATTACCTACCAATACTAACAAAATGAACATGCAGCATTTAATTTAATCAAACATTTAGGCCTAGCTAAAAGAGTTCCCTTTCCAGCAATTGCAAATAAGTTATGATGATTTACGTATAATAATTGTATTTCCTTTTTTGGGTATGAGGTAGTCACACAGTCTATACAGTTTACTATTGCAGGACGGTTATGCTCAGAAGCTACAGCGGGTAGACATATCCCTGACAGACTGCCTTGCGTGTAGTGGATGCATCACATCTGCAGAGAGTGTCCTCATTACTCAGCAATCTCAGGACGAGATGCTACGTGTTTTCAATGAAAACAAAAAACTGAAACAGGTAATGTTAGTGGTAAAAATCAAATAATCCGTGACTCTAGTCAGCTATGTTTTCTATTCTCCAGTTGACCACCGACTCCGTCCCGTGATCCACATGATGTCCTCCCCCGCATGCGCGAGAGCCAAGTCTTGGGTTGGTCAATGGCTTGACTTAAAAACTAAATTATTCATACCTTTTGGTAAAATATTGAAGTGGCTGTGGAGGTTGAACTCCACAAGATCTCCCCCCCCCCCCTTCCACCAGCAGCCAAAGAGAAGAGAGTGGGCCCAGGGTGGGTGTTGGCTCACGTTGGTCCGGTTTAGCAATGAGAGAAATTAAGTGGCATACAAGAAAAACTGAAAATTCAATATATAGCCATAGAGGCAAGATTCAAGAGCACAAATCTACTTACGTATTGAATATAAATATATCATGCACTTGTACACTGTATGCAGTAGGCTTATATGTGTGAATAAATATGGAACATTGAACAATAATAAATGTACAAAAGATATTGTACAATATCTTTGTATAAAAGATATTGTACAAAAGATATAAATGTTTAGTTATAATACAAAAAACATTTAACAAAGATATCCTTATAATTATCTGTGTGCGTGTGTGGAAGTGTATGTGCGCGCTTGCCTTCCTCTGTCCATAAGTCACGGTTTGCCGGCTCGAGCTGTAGAAATTTAAAAATAAAAATTATGGCTCGACCGCAAATTTTAATCAAGTAGGCTACATAAAAAATAACTAAGTCGTGACTTCGGTTGGAGGTTGGCATGTAGGTGTAAGTGTATGTGTATGGCTGCCGGCGCGACCGCAACATTGGTGACCGGTACTGTAGGTGACACCTTAGCGAAAGGGCACCTTGGACTCAGCTCGGTTCGTCACTGTGTGAGCCGGCGACAGCGTGTTTAGTTTGGTGTGAGGGTGATTGGATTGCCTAATAAACTAAACTAACCTACTTACTATCACTGAGCCTGGTGTGCAGTTGTGTCTTAAGTTTTTTTTGTTGGAAAAAAACTAATGTTATCGTTATTATCGTTGTTGTTGTCAACTGATATGTCCATTGAGAGCATTTCTATTAGTTACACAATCTTTGAGTTATTTCTATTAGTTACATAATCTTTGAGTTGACTCTTTTAAACTCATCGGAAATTGTGGCTATTATTCATTTTGAAATAACTCCTGTAATACTTTACAGTTGCACTAATTCAAGCAAATGGTACACTAGTTACAGTTTAATTACTCTCCATATAAATAACATGAAGATTTTAAATTTACTTTTTTTGAATTTTCTTCATAACCAATAACTGTGCAAATACATACTAAATTATTTGTTTTTTAATCTCTTCAAAATGGTTCAGGGAGAAATTAGGATTTTTTAAAGAGGTAAAGAGGTTTAGAAGCCTGAAGTACACAACCACTCTATTTTACCTCTTTATTTAGCTGTATAGGAAAATTAACTTTACGCCACACTACATTATTTTGACGAACTTCCCACGCAAGGATTTAGTCCAGAAAACAGCTGTTTGCCACCAGCTTATTCAAATGGGGTTTCATTGCGTAATACTGTACTGTAATGAGTTTTGCCGGACACCAATCAGCTGATTATACTGTATTTAGGTGGCAATGAATGTTTATAAACCAAAACATAACCTCTCTTAGAGGTTATGACTAGTGATTTTTAGTCCATTAGTTGGTGCAAATATATAAGGATTCGTACAGATATAGTAGTATAGCGTAAACTATCGTACGTAACTCGTCCAAAATGTGTGTACCGGACTCGTATGGTAATCCCGTACTCGACTTCGTCTCGCACGGGAACGACCACACTCGTCCGGTAAACACTTTTTTTCAGGACTAGTAACGTAATATACTATTACGTGGTTGATTTTTTTCTATTTTTTGAGACATTGATGTAAAGTGTTTTCACAAGTTTTAATTTAATGTTAGTTCATTTATTTGCTTGTTATTCTCATAAATTGAGTGAACAAATTTTAAATTTTACTCTGTGGAATAACATTTAAGATTGATGATGACATTTTTATGTTTTGACAGACAGCCAGTGATGAGGCTAAATTGATCATTGTATCAGTCTCCATCCAGCCTGTACTCTCGCTGGCAGCTTCACAGTCCTTGTCACCAGAAACTACTTTCCGCAAACTTGCAGGTTCTTCTTTAGTTACTTGCATGTTTATCCGTATGTGAAGTTCTGGTTTGTAAATATTATCTATATATATAAAATCCAATGTATGTTTGTTTGTTTGTCCTTTATGGACTCCAAAACCGCTCAACATATTGTAATGAAACTTTCAGGCATTATTAAGCATTATTCAAGGATAGTTTGTGTGAAGTTTGGTGCAGATCTGTCAATAGGGCTCCACCCCAGTGGCTCTGGAGTTTCCCACATTAACCTTATGAGTACTCATATTTAAATGGAATTAAAGAATCTTAACAGCTGGTTCAACTAAACAATTTGATTATGTTATGTTCAATAGCATTAAAAAGTTAATATGTTTACTAACAGGGTGCAGCACTATTATTTTTCTAAATTTATGACAACAGCTAATTTGCAACCAAAAGGTGAGTGAGCGTAGCGAACGAACTTCAACCAGGACGTGATTGAGCCATGCGAACGAGCTCATCTTGAAAATGGACGAGCAATTCACATAAACAAAATCATCAAAATCTAAAATGCCACTGCAGCAAAATGTGAATTTTTTAGGTATAACTGTCAATGAAAATCTTAACTGGAAATCACAAGTTGTTAATTTGATTAAACGATTAAACCGCTGTATTTTCTCTCTTCGTGCAATCAGACAAGCTGTTGACTTGAAGACTCAGCTTATAGTTTATCATGCTTATTTTTCTTCAATAATGACATATGGTATTCTGGTTTGGGGAAACTCATGCCACTCCAACAAAATATTCAAACTTCAACAAAAAACAATTAGAATTATTGGGCGAGTTCCTCGTAGAACTCATTGTAAAAGTCTTTTTCAAACATTTTCGGTTTTAACTTTTTATGATCACTATATTTTAGAAATTTCAAATTGGGTTAAAGACAATCTCTCCTCATTCATGAACCAACCCATTCATTCCCACCACACTAGATTTAAGAGTTATATTAAGCCTGAAACCCATAGATTAGAGAAATTTCATTTATCTCCCCAATATATAGGCCCACAAGTTTACAATAAGTTACCACTCCGCATAAAAAATATTGATAGTAAAACACAGCTCAGATCCACCCTGAAGACCTGGTTAAAAACAAAAAATTTTTTTTCTATAGAATGTTATTTAAATAGGGACGTTAAGTTAGATTAATAATTTAGTAAGACATTTTTGTTATTTCTTAGTTTTAGTATATCCTGTATATGACTTTATGTCCTGTCAAAAAATGATGTAATGACATGTAGTAAATAAATAAATAAATAAACCACATTAGGACAGGACGACGTCTGTCGGGCCAGCTAGTTTATGATATTTTACACTGTAGGCTTCATGAGTAGAACCCTTCTAATCCTTCCTCAGTTGGTCTACTGATTTGGTTAATCTGACTGGAGACTTAAGCTCTTTTTTCGGAGGGATGGCTGTCCTGATAATTGCGTTGACGTGTGGATGGCCCTCTTCCTATCGCACATTATGCACTAGGTCTATTGTTTGCTTGCCTTTTTGCAAGTCCTACCTTGCTGTGCCTTATCTCATATTGTACCTGTCATTGTGGATGTGTTATGTTTTGTACTGTGGTGTATTTTGTGTTCACATTGTACGTTGATGTCACGGAAGTATTCGTCTGATTAACAGCTAAAAATATCAAAATTAACAACAAAAGCTTTTTGGGTAAACAATCACATTTATTCGTAATGTATGTGTTTATGTTGCATTAAAGTTTAATGAAGTTCTGAAGTTTGGTTTACTTAGTGAAAATTTTCAAAGTTATGAGTTGATTTAAAAAACCTAGTTTTTGCATTATGAAATGAAATGAAAAATCATTTATTTACACAGGCAAAGTTAGGGCCACATGGCCCTTTCTTCTCTCATTACACTTAACCTGACATCATTACAAATTTTAATTTATAAACGAGTGAGAACATTTTAAACTCGTAAGAAAACACAGAATAAAACAAAGAAAATGTTTATATTCTCTAAGTTAGTCGTTTTGTTACTTTTCTGAGAGCTTTAAACTCAAGAGGATAAACGTTTTCCCAACATTACCTAGTTTTCACCACAGACAATGGAATAAACCCAGACGTCTCACCGCGCGATGCGTAGGGCCCCGTCACATCCTGCCTCTAGCGGAGAATCGAGGAAACACGCAGTCTCGCGCTCGCCTCGCCAGTCATGGTCGGCGGTCGCTGGCTTGCAATTAATTGCAGCACTAGCAGTTCAACTCAATGCCAAATTCTTGTCTATCATTCCTCCTCCACAACTCGCGCGGTACACCGATACCGTACTCCCTACGACTACCCGTGCATCCATCTGCCTGTGGACAGAATTTATTTTTCATTGTGTGATTATTTTAATCACATTTGCGACGAAGTTTAGCAATAAATTAAACATGGTGTTCAAAAAAGGTGGGGGACATATTTTACCTAGTGATTCCTTGGGTAAAAATAAAAAATCAAGAATATTTTTTTCCAAAATCGCTTTGTTACCCAAATATCCGCCATTTTGTATTTTTGACATACACTTTTTTATATTTTAATGTTTTTTACTGATTTTTATGAAACTTGGTATGCATGTTAAGGTATAAAATACCCGTGTTAGAAAAAAAGTTCATCTGATTCAACCTACAATTTCATAATGATGGCCATTAAAACATTTAAGCTTAAATTACTCAAAACTGGCTGGTTTTTTGAAAATATTCCAAGTACAATTGTAATTATCTATTATTTTAATTAGTATTATTTTAATTATCCTTTAGCATTTTTAATTATCTATAAAACGATACCAAGTTCAAAAAGATCAAATAAAAAATAGCTGAAATATTATAATTTTTAGTTGTAAAAGGGGCAAACCTGACTATCTTCTGCCTTATTCTACCCCATTTCAGCAATAAAAGTTCTAGCAATAAATTTTATTCAGTCTGTAGTACTGTAATAGAGAGGAGCGAAGCGAAGCTTGTTGGGATCGGCTTCAATACAAACTTCCATAGACACAAAACAAAAACACAAATCACTCAAAATGGCTTAACTTATTTTAGCCAAACTTTCCAAGATGCTTTGTTTCCACAAATAGGAATTCGGAAGATTTAAGACCAAACAATTTAAATTGTTGATAATCTATATAAATAAAATTACAGTTTTGTCTGTACATTGCGTAGAATCATGCAGTGTTTGGTTAATTTTACGTTTCATAGCCTAAGTAAGCCGAAACGAGTCTTCTCAATTTCTGTCTGTCTGTTTGTTTGTCTGTCATTGTGTCATTCTGTATGGACTCCAAAATGTTAGTTTTTACTATGAAAAAGATAAAACATTAAGTGAAAGATTTTTTTTAACAAACCATCATGAATTTTTAAAGCTTTACGTTGTTAACGTATCAATTTTTTGTGGTCTTTGTATTTATTTACTTATTTATATATTTGCCAACGGATTCACACAAATTTTACAGTTGGATTACAAGTTGTGAATTGCTCAATATGACTAAATAGCCTATAAATAAAACGAATATCAAAAGTAACAATAATAAGAATACAGTACATGCAAATACTTGGACAAAGAAAGAACTAAGAGTAACGAGAAGTAAATACACAAGTTGGTTGAATAACAATAATAATGAAAATATGTATACAATTAATGTCAAATTGACCAATCTAGCAAATAATAAATAATAAAGATAACAATATCCATGATGAATATTTTCGTGAAAACAAAAATAATATGGTAATGATAAATATTTGAAGTGAATAATTATTGTACATTAATACCCATCTAAATCTTCTTTTGTACTTCGTTTCATAATTTATGCCGTAATTTCAACAACATTTCGAGTCATTTTCGGACTAAGCAAAGCAAATATAAATTGTCATTCCATACGGCATTTTCACTGCACGATAAGTAGGCCTAAATACGATTATCATAAAATTTGACGACACTATCAAACATTTCAAATAATTATTTTGTAAATACTTTGCTTTGGTTGGTTAAAGCGTAGCAAATCCCCTAATTCATTTCTGTGTTTGTGTGTGTGTATGTATGTTGGTAACGCATTAATGTCATTATATCTCAGTGTTTCGTGGAAAAGACAAGAGCACCTTTGTTAATGAAAATTTCAACCGGAATAAAGTGTGCATGGTGAGGTTGGGGTAGTATTTTAACTACTTTTAAACAGTGTGGAATGTATTTTAAATTATAGGCCTACCTTGAGGGAATTTTTTATCATTGGATATAAAATATAGACTAACACGAGAGGGTGACATTTAATTGTGAAGCATTCGTTTTGTAAACATTGTAAACCGTCAGATATTGTATTTGCGAAGGTTTATATGTATTCCTATAAAGTAATAGCACAGACCACGGAAACCTATTACAGTATTATATTGTCTGTGGTAATAGTTTTGCCAGCATATCTGGAAAATGCACACTAAATATGCAAACCAACTCCTGTTCTGAATTTAAAGGTTGAAGGTTTCAACTTGCTAAAAGATCCCCGTACGTAGAACGGGCACACAGCTAGTGCCTGTATAATTTTAAAGAAACTCAACGTTTTTAAATTTTAACATTGGCCTTATAGGTTGCCATGATGGTTATAAAATAACGACGTATATGTAAACAAAACAAAGAATCATAGCATATGCTTAAAATCAAGTTAAAATATGACCTAAACATAGGGATGGTCAAGTCTCGAAATTTCGGGAAATTTTAAGTCTCGTTACACGAGACGAGATTTCTTTTTGGCCGAGATTTTTATCGAGACGAGAAAAAAAAAAATTAAAAACGCCTGCAGAAAGTCAATGCAATACCCGCAATACAGGACCGTGTTGTAGTTGCGTTTCCTTTGCGAAGGCGTTCTTATTTAATTAATTCTTCAAATGTAAATATTACTTTAATTATTTTAATAACATTTGAGAAGTTTTGTTAAGTGTTAGCAGTGTGAGGAATGTTTTATTACTATAAAAAAAAGTCAAAACCAGTAACTATTTTATAAAAATTAATATTTTATTTTATG